GGGCAGTTGGGTGCTGTGCTTCCCAGCATTTGGTTGCTGTAGGTAAGGGAGCCCCTGCCCCTGATGCACTGGGTAGATGGGTGCTGTGCTTCTCAGGACTTGGTTGCAGTAGGTAAGGGAACAGAGGCCTAGGAAAGAGGGAAATGAGAGGTTCCAGGCCCACTGGGCCACACAGTGAGGAATCCTGTAGGGTTTCAGACCAAGGCCATGGGACAGTCCTTGATTTCACTCTGATCCTTTTCTTAGAGGAATTCCTGGGCCCTGCTGCCCACTGGAAGCATCTTCCTTCTCCGTTCTCAACATTGGCTTCATTCAGAGTGGGCTCGCTAGCTGGGCGTGGTAGCGCATGCCTTTAATACCAGCAGAGGCAGGCGATCTCTGTGAGTTCAAGGCCAATCTGGTCTACATAGTGAATTCCAGGACAGCTGGGGCTACAGGAAGACCCTGTCTCAAAAAGACAAAAAGAAAAAAAAAAAGACCAGAGTGGGCTCGCTGCCCACCTGAGGGTGAGTCTTGGAGGTTATTGTGGGACTTGGACCACCAGAAGCTTCTTTAGTGCCTCCATGGAGCTGTTCAGGTTCAGCTATTCCATCTGTGACAGTGACCTATATACCCCCGAGTTCCTCCCAGACGTGTTCCCAGGCCTGATGCACTGTATGGTTCCCCGCCTCCTCCTGTCTCCCCAGAATCTTTCACACTAGTCTGGATCCACCCCTGAGTTCTGATGGGCTTTTGGTCTCAAAGTTCTCCTCAGTCCCCAGGACTGGAGGTGGTAGGCATTTCCTTTCTTTGATGACCCAAATCTCTGAACTCTGCTCACTCTGGGTTCTCTTACAAACCGGCCACTTCCTTCTCAAGCTTCTCTCTTTTCTGACCTGTCTTGCTAAGTGCAAAAATAAACAAATACATAGACAGGCTCACATGGCTTTGAGCCACTAGCCTTGGCACCATGGCTCAGTAGGCATATAATTAGACAGACACTATGCCCTGCCTCTCAGGCCAGGGTGATATAGGGCCCCTCAGACTCTGGAGAGAAAAGTTCTCACTGGGTATGGTGGTGAACATCTTTAACCCCAGCAGTTGGCAGGCAGAGGCAGGTGGGTCTCTGTGAGTTCAAGGCCAGCCTGGTCTACATACTGAGTTCCAGGATAGCTGGGAGTACAAGGAGACCCTGTCTCAAAAAGACCTCCCAAAAGACAAGTTCTCGCTTGGAATCCCCTCACTCTGGTAGTGGTGTCTAACAGGTGGTAGGTAGCCCCCCCATGTCTGTGGCTTGCACTTGCTCATAGCAGTGAGGTTTTGTGTGTTCACTGTGTCACCTAAGCTGCAGAATGTGGGGGGCACGGTAGCAGCCTGGAGTGTGACCAGATTGGACTCTGTCCAGATGGAGGAAGTGCTCACCCCAGGAGCTGCGAACTAAATGGGAGAAAATTAGATGGGGAATTCGCTCGTGGCTAAGGGAAGGAGGACCCATGAGCATCTGTTGCTCTTATTAAAAGCTCTTCCACTGCAAGTTCTAAGAACATTAAACGGTTACAAGTGGCTTAGCTGGTATTTTTAAGCCATGCAGCAAGACAGCAGTGCATCTCTGACAGGGCAGCGTCACTTCACACTACTTGTTGTCGGGACTGGAGAGATGGCTCAGCAGTTAAGAGTGCTCAGTGCTCTTGCAGAGGACCCGGGTTCAATTCCCAGCACCCACATGGCAGCTACGAACCGTTCTTAACTCTAGTTTGAGGGGAATCCGAAGCCCTCTTCTGACCTCTGTGGCATTGCACGACACAGGTGCACTCACATACATGCAGGCAAATACACAAATATACATAAAATAAAAATAATAAAATATTAAAAAAACCAAAAGAAACAAAAAAAACCCACACTTCTTGTTATGTGACCAAGTGGATTTTCCATGCAGGAAACACTGTTTGTTCTTGTTCTTTGACACAGGGTCTCCCTGTAGCCCCAGCTGGCCTGGAACTCACTATGTAGACCAGGCTGGCTTTGATCCCACAGAGATCTGCTTGCCTCTGCCTCCCGAGTGCTAAGATTAGAGCCATGCACCACCACACCCAGCTGAGAAAGCCTTATTATTATTCTTTATTTTTAAAATATTTTTATTTTATTTTGTGTGTGTGAATGTATTACCTGCATGTATGTAAGTGCACCCACGTCATGCAGTGTCCATGGAGGTCAGAAGAAGGCGTCAGATCCCCTGGAACTGCAGTCACACACGGCTGTTAGCCACCATGTGGGTGCTGGGAATTGAACCCGAGTCCTCTGCAAGAGCAGCCAGTCCCCTTATCCACTGAGTCATCTCTCTAGCCCCAAGAAAGCCTTTTTAAAGGAATGTTTAGTTGTGTGTGTGTACACATGGGTGAGTGCACTCGTGCCCCTTGAGTGTGTGGTCAGAGGACAGCTTGTGGCATCAGTTCTGTCCTTTCACCATGTGGGACTTGGGACTCCAAACTCTCATCGTCAGGTTGATGGCCAAGTACCTTGACTTGCTGAGCCATCTCACTAAGCTGTGAGAAAGATTTTTGTGCACAGTTTTCAGTTTAGTCTGCTTTTGTGTGTATATGTGTTGGGATCAGACCCTTGAACACGGTAGGCAAGTGGTCTGCCACTGAGCTACACCCTGAGCCTTGAGTATGGTATTAAAAAGAGACTCTTCTGCTGTCCATGTGCAGGTCTGAGACTGGACCAGACTGGAGGCTCGGGGTGTCCAAAGCTCTGATACTGTGACGTTTAGTCCTTATGAGGGGAGTGCGGGGCAAGCAAAGAGCAAAGGCAGTGGCGTGAGCTCTTTGTATCCTGGCCCTTTTGTCAGACACAGGCCAGAGGGAGATGGCTCTTGGCTTTCAGGGGTGCTGTGGTGGGGCTGTTACCCCATCAATGAGAAACTGTATTCTTGGACCAAGAGTGGGCCCCATCTTGTTCTGAGGTGCTCTGAATTCTCAGAACTGTTCTGAGAGATGTGCCTGACCTGTCCTGTCCTGTCCTCAAGTCTAACAAATGCCCTGTCCTGTCCTCCTGCCTAACAAAGGCTCCTCCCATATTTTTTTTATTTATTATTTTTATTTTATATGTATGGGTGTATTGCCTACATGTATTTGAGTGCACCTGTGTCATGCAATGCCATGGAGGTGACTTCGGATTCCCCTGGAACTGGAGTTAAGGATGGTTCGTAGCCGCCATGTGGGTGCTGGGAACCAAACCCGGGTCCTCTGCAAGAGCAGTCAGTGCTCTTAACCGCTGAGCTGTCTCTCCAGCCCGCTCCTCCCATATTTATTGAACAACATATCATACATGGTATGGGAAAGGCATGAACAATTGTTGAGGACAGTTTTACAAAGGAAGAAGTTGTTTTCGGCCGAGCTGACTCAGAACAGCACCCAAACGCAGATGTCATCCACCTGCCCCTATGCTTGCAGCATTTGTGGAGGAGACGTTGCTGCAGGGCCATTGCTGTTTCAGCATCGTTGCTATGGGGTCTCAGGCGCACACATAGTTCTGACATCATTGAGTCACACAGGGAACATGGTATAAGGTTACAAGCTTAGGCTGTAAGATTCATTACATTGGGATTCCTAATCACTGTAGGACCGATCACATTGTTTTTCTTAGCAGAACATAATGTTCTCAAAACACGATAATTTAGTTTATAAGGTTATGTCAAATTTCAGTTTGTAAAGGCTCATTACCAAGAGTCTTTCCCAGGAAAACTCATTCCCACGTTGTGGCCTGGGCAGTGCTGGTTGTGGTAGCTAAGGGGCTTTGGGGCTGTGCTCTTCACACAGCCTCCTGGCAGAGACCTCAGGACAGATATTATGGGCCTGGCTGATCAGGCCCTCGTTCAGTGTCCCATGTAGCCTTTCAAGGTATGGCCCAGGGCCATCCAGGTGTTCCTGGGGCCACAGTGAAGTGGCATGAGCTAGATGGGGCTGAAACTAGTGGGTCAAAGCTGCAGGTTCCCTAGGCTGACTGTGAGCCAGCGGGCATCAGGGGCCACCCAGGGGCTGAACCCTGTTCTCAGTTGCCTGCTGGTTCCTAAACCTGTCAAGGCCTCTCATGGGAGGAAGGGGCACCCCTAGCTGACCCCAGCCGTCAGCAGGTAGGGTAGGAAAAGGCAGGCTTGTCCTCAGCCAGCAGCTGTGGGAGGATATACGCGTGCTCTGGGCTGGGTCACACCTGTGGCTCTGCCTGTACCTGCTGAGGAAAGGGGAAGTGGCATCTGTGCTCTGGGGACAGAACGCTTCTGTATTCTTAAGTGAGGCCTCTCCCAGGCGTTGCAGCAGCAGGGCTGAGGACTGGTGCTCCACTGGGGGAATCTCTGTTCTTGGAAGAGTTGTGCCAACAGAGCCTTGTGTGGGAGAGCAGCCCAGACGCCTTGAGGCTGAGATCTCCTAGGCCAGCGCCGGGTTGGGGCCCTGAGAAGCAACATGCAGAAACATTGTTGGCCCTTTTTAAAAAAATTATTTTATTTATTATTTTTATTTTATTTGTATGAGTGTGTCGCCTGCATGTATGTGAGTGCGCCCGTGTCATGCAATGCCGCAGAGGTCAGAAGAGGGCTTTGGATTCCCTGGAACTGGAGTTAAGGACGGTGGTTAGCCACCATGTAGGTGCTGGGAATTGAACCCCGGTCCTCTCCAAGAGCAGTCCGTGCTCTTAACCGCTGAGCCATCTCTCTGGCCCAATTTTTGATGGCACTTTCTGTGAGGAAAGTTGGGTAAAGAAACAACATCCCAGTGGGGGGTCCCAGGCAGCCCTGGAACCTCCTAGCCAAGAGGTGTAGTGGCTGCCATGGGCAGGGTCTGGTGGTTGCCACCATCCCCAGAGGGCATCTGGAGGCCTCGGTGCCAGAGAAACCCTCATGACTGCAGTGGAGCCTTCCAGGGACTCATAGCACTGGGCCATGGTAGCCTTGCCGCTGTTGGGCTGTGGGGATCCATTTATGGGAATCTGTCTACACCACAGCTGATCTCTCTTTGCCTTTCCAGAGCCCAACACGGTGAGCTACAGCCAGTCCAGCCTGATTCACCTGGTGGGGCCCTCGGACTGCACCCTTCACGGCTTCGTGCATGGAGGTGAGATGACGTTACTTTGGCCTCTACCCCCACCCCTGCCTGCCCTGAGCATCCCTCAGGAGGCCATGCTGCTTGCTGACCTAGTTTATAGTCCCATGTCTGCTGAAGTACAAATTTAAACTTTGAAGAGATTGCATAAGGAATTACCAAAATACCATTGGTGCCCATTTTTAAAACTGGAAATCAAAGTTGGATGGATGAGGACATCCCAGCAGCAGGGGATGTGAGAGTTGTGAGACATCAGGGGTAGGGCCTTGTGGAGCCCAGGAGAACACCCTGTGACTCACTGACAGATGGTACTTAAAGATATTCTTCCTGGCCGGGCGTGGTGGTACACACCTTTAATCCCAGCACTTGGGATCTCTGTGAGTTCAAGGCTAGCCTGGTCTACATAGTGAGTTCCAGGACA